TCCCACCAACCTGCATGGCCTCACCCTCACCTGCAGAGCACTAAAATGCAGACTTGTTGCATGGGTCTTGGTGGGGCCCAGGTATCTGCATTTTGAAAGCCTTCTATCTCTAGAGAGAGAGGCAGGAGATTTGGGGGTCATACGTGACAGGCCCTGTTCACACCAGAGAAAGCCCATAGGCTTTGGCTGGGGACTAATCTGGGTTTGAGTCCTAGCTCCCCTACATGTACAGCCTTATCACCTGTGTGGGCTTGGGCCTCAGCCCTCTAGAAGGACCAGGCAGGCCCAGCCTCCCCTGCCCCTCATTGCGTAATCTGTGTTTACTTTCCTAGCAGGACAACAGGAGGGATGGAAAACCAGGCAGCTTCTCAGGCCAGCAGGGACTGACTCATGGCTCAGTGCTGGGCTGGGGGCCCAGGGAGTTCCCTACCACCTCCCTCTGGGACCACAGGGGAGGTGGGGCCCTGGCAGCAGGGGCAGGAGGGGGTCTTCTGTGACTCACTTCTCCTGAGTCACCTGCTGAGAATGCAGCCCACTAGGCAGCCACACCCTGCCACTTCCCCTGTGCCTCCTGAGAGGTCGTGCCCCCATGACCCTGGCCAGCCTGCAGGGGCCACAGGTGCGAACTCTGGCAGCTATGGGCAGTCAGATATGCCTTCCCAACTGCCCTGGGTGCCCCCTAGACACGGCTACTTAGACACACCCACCATGGGCTCAGCAGGGCAGTCTTGTGGTCCCATCAGTCCATCTGGCAGCTCCAGGCCTCTGGGGTGGCTGGAGCCACATCTCAACCCCAGGTCATTTTCAGAGCAGCCTGTCATAGACGCTGACATCGCCTCTCAGACCCACTGTCTGCAAGGGCTCTGGCAAGGAGGTCACTCGTCAGGACTGAGGGAGCCACTGGGTGGGGCCGGACGTTCTTGGCCAGGCCTGGATCCCCCCAGGACTGGCTGCTCGGCCCCAACACTCCCAACCTCTCTGCTCTGCCCAAGCCTGCTTCCTTCCGCCTGAGAGCACCCACTGCCCAGACCAGTGGGGCTGCATTTCTGGGGCCTGTGTCTTGGGTGTGACAAGTGACAGCTCTGGGGACAGCCCAGGTCAGAAAGTCAGGACCCCATTCCCTCCAGAGCCTTTAGGCTAGACTGGTTGACACGTAACGAGGGGCAGAACAGAAACTCAAATCAGGTTTTCGCTGGAAGCTGGTCTGGGTGTGAGTCCCGACTCTACCACACGTCCAGGTGTGTGACCTCTGACAGGTGTCTCCACCACTCAGTAAAAAACGGAAGAAATCCTGGTTCTTCCATTCCCTGGATGTGTGACCCTGAGAAAATGCCTTCACTTCTCTGAACCTCAGTGTCCCCATCTGAGAAATGGGGAACATTCTGGCACCAGCTCTGAAGGGTCTTGAAAAGAGACCCGTTGTGGCAAAGAATGACAACGGCCGTTGAACATTTACTGTGTGCTGCCCCGTGCTAGGCCCTGGACTGGGGTGACCGGGCCTGCATTTTCCAGCTTGACTGAGGCTGACAAATGCACATTCCAGTTTCAAAGCAATCTGATGAGTTTAGACAGGGGCAACCAACCGTGACAGTAGAACCATCACCAAGAGGCTGAACTGGCCCTGTGCACAGATGTACTAGTGGTCCCCCAGAGATGAAACGACTGACCCTGAATTGAAAATGCATCAGAGCCAGTACTCTGGTCCCCACCCCTGCCAACACAGGCAAGGTCCCTGGCTTAGAGTGGGAGCTCTAAGCAGCCACACCCTGTGTGGATGGATGGAGGGCAAGTGGATGAGAGGACCAATGCACTGTGGCAACCCCAGGAAAAAGGGCCAGAGGAGGACCAGATAGGGGTTAGTAGGTACTGAATCTGACTGAAGAGAAGGGTTTGTTCACTCATTCATTTGTCCATCCATCACATCCTCTTGAGCACCTGCGAGGTGACAGATGCTAGATCAAGAATCCTGGGTGCGGGGTCCTGCCCTCAGAAAGCTTGTTGCGAGTTTGAGGCCACTTGGCCTCTCCTGGGTCTCCAGAGACAGGGCACTCACTCCTGGCCATCATCAGTCTGTGGTTGGCCCAGAGGGGCCATGGAGGGAATGCTCAGGGACATGGCGGTCAGGTCTGAGGCTGAGGGGTCAGGGCCTGACAGGGACACATCACTTTTCCAGGGCCACCGGGCTCCCCTCTCAGCCCTGGAGGTGCCTCCAGCATGCCCAGCCCTGGGGAAACAGCAGCCAACAAGGGGCCTCCCTGCCAAGACAGCGCAAGGGCAGCAAAGCAAACAAGCACGTTTCTACTAAAGGACAGTAAACTACGTGCCCATCGGAACCTCGGGAAACGGGAACCCCCACGTGTGTCTGTCTGGGAGAGGCCCACAGTAGCCTGGCCGGCCGAGGAATGTTGGCCTCACCAGGAAGGAAGCCGGGTGTGGTCAGCACACAGCCGCACTGCCTACTTTCGGGTCTCTGGTGGTGATTTTTTTTTAAAAGATTTATTTATTTTTATTACAAAGTCAGATATACAGAGAGGAAGAGAGATAGAGAGGAAGATCTTCTGTCCGATGGGTCACTCCCCAAGTGAGCGCAAAGGCCGGTACTGAACCAATCCAAATCCAGGAGCCTGGAACTTGCTTCAGGTCTCCCACATGGGTGCAGGGTCCCAAGGCTTTGAACCGTCCTCGACTGGTTTCCCAGGTCACAAGCAGGGAGCTGGCTGGGAAGTGGGGCTGCCAGGATTAGAACCGGCACCCACATGGGACCCCGGCGCGTTCAGGGTGAGGACTTTAGCTGCTAGGCCAGGCCACCGGGCCCTCTGGTGGTGATTTAAGACAGCTGTGTGTCTGTGAGTTTGCCCACCTGCCTGCTCCCACCAGCCCATGCAGATCTGCCTGGGCCCTTCGTGCTCTGCTCTTCGTGCTGAGCTTAAACATTCCTCGCAGAACCCAGCTGCCAGGCTGCCTGGGCTGCCCTCCCAGGCCATCCTCTGGTCATGGGAATGGCTTAATCCCCACCAGTCCATCTCGGCACCGACCTCAGGCAGTAATGAGTCAGTGGCAGGCAGTGCTGGACACGTGGTCCCTCCTCCCAGCCCTGGGGTCCCAGCCATCTGGTTCCCTGGAAAAGGTGGAGGTACTGTGGCCCACCCTGCACTCATGTCCGCACCCCCTCCCTGACCTCTTCACAAGTCCACACCGCTCTTGGGGCTGCCCTGCTCAGAGGGGTGCTGTGGCAGTGGGGAGACCTAACCCCTAAGGCTGTCTCCCCGATAGTGGACTCTTCCTCCCTTCCCCCATCTTTGAGGGCTTACTGGCTTGGCCAAGAAGGACACAGGAATGGCCAGCTGGTACTGAGGCTCAGCATCAATTCGTCCTGCTGGCACCTCCTTCCCTGGCTGGAGGGATGGCCACTGAGGACTGCCTCCATTGGAGACGGCTCGGCAGGGCCCTCCCATCAGGCATCTGGAGTTGGGGGGAGCCCTACGGAAGGGTGGGTGGGGGCGGAACCCTGCTTGAGTGGGCAGAGTCCGGCTTGGGTTGGGGCGGAGCCCTGCGCGGGGTGGGCGGAGTCCTGTGTGGGGCGGGCGGGGCCCTGCGTGAGGTGGAGCGGAGTGCTGTGTGTGGGCGGGGCCCTGCGGAGGGTGGGCGTGGCCCTATGAGGGTGGGCGGAGCCCTGCGTGGGGTGCGCGGAGTGCTGTGGGTGGGTGGGGCCCTGCGCGGGGTGGGCGGAGTCCTGTGTGGGGCGGGCGGGGCCCTGCGTGAGGTGGAGCTGAGTGCTGTGTGTGGGCGGGGCCCTGCGTGGGGTGGAGCGGAGTGCCGTGTGTGGGCGGGGCCATGCGCGGGGTGGGCGTGGCCCTACGCGGGTGGGCGGAGTCCTGCGCTCCGTCTCACCCCTGCAGGCTGCTTCTAGAAGCTCCAGTCAGGTGTGGAAAGCGTCTCCCTCAGAGCCCCTCTAGCGGAGGCACCTCAGCTCTGGCCGTGAGTCGGCGTTCAGTTCTCCGACCCCAACAAACTCGCGGCGTGGGCCAGCGAACTTGCGTGGGGTGCTCCTGCTGCACCCCCCACGGACCTTGGTCCCTCGCCACCACCCCCAAGGCGGCTCTGGCTGAGGAAGGTCCTGGGTGTCTCCTTCAGCCTTGCTGTGGTACGCTCTGTGCGGCTAGGCCTGTCGGGGTGACTTCAGACCCCAAGTCAGCTGGCTGGGTCCAGGTGTGGTGAGGGCCGGGTGCACGCGTGGGAGAACCGGCAGCGGCACGGCTCCTTCCCGCCACGCAAACCCCGTCCTCCCCTGGATGCCCCAGCTGCTGCCCATCTGCCGGGAGGGTGTCAGGAGGACATATGGGGTGGCCTCTACTGGGGCGGAGTCCGGTGTGGGTGGGCGGAGCCCTGTGTGGGTGGGCCTGCGTGGCTGCTCCGCGAGCCGCGGGCTGTCGTTTGCTGCCACCTCGTGGCAGACGTGGGGACTTGGGCTTCCCCGTCCAACCTCCACCTGTCGGGTCCCAGGTAGGTGCGCGCGGACCTCGGGGCTGACGGGGCGCCGAGCAGCGGGGTCTGCAGCGTGCGCAGATGCCAATGCGCCCAGGGCCGGCGTCGGCCAGGCTGAGTAAACCGCCAGGGGCTGACAGCGCCGCCCGGGGCCGGCTCGCTGCTGCTGCAGACCCAGTGGGTGCGGCGCCGGGCGGCGAGCGCGGCGAGCTCAGGTTCCCGCCTTCTGCTGCGGGGCGGGGCCAGGCGTGGCCAATCCGCATGCAGATCTGTGCCTCTCTGGGCGTGGCCAAAAAGACGAGCGCGTGGAGGGGCTAAGCCTGGGGCGGAGCCAGGAGGGACGGGGCCCGCCTGGGGCGGGGTCACTGCTGGGGGGGGGGCACAGCAGGGGACGTGGGTGGGGCCACTACGAGCGGGGCCCAAAGCAGGGCGTGGGCGGGGCCTCTCGGGGGCGGGGCCAGCCCGGGACCTCCGCTGTCCCCGGTGCTGCAGCGCTCCCTTCCTGGCTGGTGTGGCTTGCGTCTCTCGGGCCTCTGCCCTGGCTGACTGGCCAAGCGGCGCCGCTTTGCAGGACTGAGCAACCTGGAGTCAGGCAACCGCGGTTGAGCCCCGCGTTTGCCCGAGGCGCTGCGCTCCGGGCCCAGCCAACGCCGCGAGTTCCCCGACGGATAGCTCCTCCTGCACCAGGCTAAAGCTGACGGTCCTGCCACCTCCCCCGCCGGGACCGCGACCCTGGGTGCTCCCAGGACGAAGGTGAGCAGGATAGCGACGGCTCTGTGTGGATGTACATGTGCAGGGTGAGTGCATGGAGGAGGCTGTGGGTCAGGAGTCTTGGGAGGCCCTGAGAGGGCAGGTGCAGGGGGACGTGGAGAGACTAGGGGTTCGGTGGTCCGTGGCAGGCTGAGGAGTGAAAGCCCACACTTGCAGGAGAGTTGCAGGGGTCACCATGGGGTCGCTAATGTGAAGGGGGGAACAGAAGGGCGTCTTAGGTGTCTGCTGCTGTTGGAGGAGTGAGGAATGATCTGGATCCTGCCCAGGACAGGACTGAAATTTGGGACCTGCTGCACAGGCATCTAGGGGCTGTGCTGGGGAGGTGTGTGAGGGCCAGTGGGGAGGGTAGCCAGTGTCCCTGGGTGGTGAGGAGTCAGCTGCTGCCTCACCAGCCACCCGTGTTCCCAGATTCCGCACACCTCCCCCACCCCGCCCTGGGAACGTCTGTGTGGTGAACATGGTGCAGAAGTACCAGTCTCCTGTCCGTGTCTACAAGTACCCCTTCGAACTGGTCATGGCGGTGAGTGACCCTGCTTCTTCTGGGCGGTGGTTGGAGGAATTCAGCGGCTGTGGCAGGAGGGAGAGGGGACGCCCACTCAGAGGGATTATTGAGCCACTGGCTGACGGGGTGGGACCCCTCTGCCCGGCTGACCCCTCCCACCTTTTGGCAGAGCTGCTGGCCTTTCCTTTTCCTGTGCAGCACACCTGTCTCCCCTCAGACCCTCCTGGCGAAACACAGGGCCTCAGGGCCAAGCCAGTAGACCACCCTGTGTAGTGACAGTAGTGTTCACAGCAATGATGATGATGGTGGTGGTGATAGTGATGATGATGTGATGATGAAGGTGATGATGATGGTGGTGGTGATGATAGTGACTATAGTAGCCATCCATTGAGTAATTACAATCCTCAATTATCACACGTGACTGATTCTGTTTCTGATACTTCTCATTGGTCCCATTTTACCCCCACTAAACTGAGGCTTGGGCACGTACAGAGTGGCCCCAAGTTCTATAGCAAGGAGAAGGAGGCCTTGGAACGCAGGTCCTCCAAGAGGGGACCCCCAGGGCCTTGCCATTAACCAGGAGACCCCTAGTGTCCTCCTTTCGCCCACAGATTGCCCTCCTCACCCTTCAAGGAAGTTGAGACCCAGAGAGGCTGTGGGGAGTGTGGGGCAGGGTCTGGGGTCAGTGTCCTGAAAGAAGGGGCATGCACAGTGGCCATGGAACATACCATTGGTGCGACAAGGTACACAGGAGCCTGGGTTAGGTCTCCTGGATTCATGGTCCTTTCACTGCTGGCTGGGTCCAGAGACAGGTCCATGCAGGAGTCCTTCACAACTCTGTGGTGCTGCCTCCTGATACTTCTTGTTGGTGCTCAGTAGAACAGGGGTCAGGTGCTAGGGGACACGATTCATGGCACCGCCAGCTGTGTGTGGCCTTCACAGCATGCCATGGTTATACCAAGGGTGTCACGAACTCCCCAATTCACCATCACCCACCCTCCTCAGGTTGCGTCCACCAGCTTCCTTTCCAAGGACCTTGCTCTCTGAGCCTCTAGTCCTGGCTCCATAGCGGGCATCCCAGGGTGTCCCCATCCATCTCCTAGAGAAGGTCTCCTGCTTTGGGCTCTCACAATGATTCAGGGTCTGCCTGTGGCTGGACCACGAGCCTCTGTAACTGGGTAGGACTCTGGAATGCAATGAAGGAGGTTGGGTCTCTGCAGCTGCTGGGCTGTGTGTGTCTGTAAAGTTGCTGAGTTTCTCTGTGCCCCTGTTTCTGCTTGTGGCATGAGGAAAGTCGGACCTCTGTGTATGTGTGTGTTCTAGTGCAGGGCCAGGTCTGCGGCAAGCAGACGAAAATTGGTGGATTAACATACACGATCATGCTTAGTCCATATGATATGGCAGCTCACATATGCAGGATCTTCAAACCGTCTGTAGAAGAATGCATTCATGAAAAAGTTAGGCATGAATAAAAAATTGCACTGAAAATAAACAAGTCTCTTAATTCTATTTCCCAGACTTTTTTTTTTCTAAGTTTATATATTTGAAAGACAGCGTAATTGAGAGGGTGGGGGAAAGAGGGAGAGACCTTTTACTTGCTGGTTTATTCCGCCAAATGGCTGTGAAGCTCTAGCTAGGCAAGGCTGAAGCCAAGAGCCAAGGACTCTGTCCTGGTGTTCCATATGGCAGGAATCCAAGTCCTTGGGCCGTTGGCCACTGCCTCCCAGGTATCCTAGCAGGAAGCTGCATTTTGAGGAGCCCTGAGAGGCTACAGGCATCTCCAGTGGTCACTTAACCTGCTGTGACACAAACTTTGTCTTAAAGGCAAGCAATACTTAGTTTTTTGTTTTGCTTTGTTTGCAATGCTTAGTTTTTTAGAAAAAAGCTTATTTTCAGGGCCAGCATAATGGCTCAACTGGCTAATCTCCCATTTCCAAGCACTGGCATCCCATATAGGCGCCAGTTCGTGTCCTAACTGCTCCACTTCCAATCTAGCTCTCTGGTTGTGGCCAGGGAAGCAGTCGAGGACAGCCCAAAGCCTTGGGACCCTGTACCTGTGTGAGAGACTTGAAAGAAGTTCCTGGCTCCTGGCTTTGATTTAGCTTAGCTCTGGCCATTGCAGCCATTTGAGAAGTGAACTAGTGGAAGGAAGATCTTTGTCTTTCCTTCTCTGTAAATGTGCCCTTTCAGTGAATATAAATAAAATTTTTAAAAAGTTTGCTTTCATTTTATTTGAAGGGTAGAGAGTAGAAAGGTGGGTGGAGACTGGCAGAGAGAACTCTCCTGTCCCCTGGGTAATTCCCAAATGCCTGCAATGGCCAGGGCTGGGCTACACAGAAGCCTGGAACTCAGTTTAGTTCTCCTATGTGGATGTTAAGAACCCCGGTAGTTGAGCCATCAGCTGGTACCTCTCAGGATGAGGATAAGCAGAGAAGGGACTGAAACCCAGGCACTGGACGTGGCAGGTGGCCATCCCAAGTGGCATCTACCTGCTGTGCCAAATACTCAACTCTTCACAAACTTTTTGAAATTTCCTGTAAGACTCAGTATGTCACTGTGGAATAAAAAGATCCAAGCATTGCATGGGCTTAATGATTGTATGTTTGGCATGCCTTAAGTCCTCAAAAATGGCTGTGATTGTTGCACTCTGAATTAAGACACCTGGGCTTCTGTAGCATTTAACGTGATAATGGGACAGCGGGACAGCTGTGAGCACAGGTGCCTTTCCTGAAATGCGTCCCATCCGTGGAGGTAGGGCTGACTCCATTCTCAGCACTCCCCAGCTCTGGGAGCTGATAGATGGAGCGAGCTAGCCAGAGGCTGTCGAACACTGGTCATCCGTGCCTGCGTTCATCTGTCTTTGTGAGATGGAACCAAGCCGAAGCAATACCACTGTCAAAGCCAACTGTTTACAAGACACCATTGTCCCCAAAATAGCTAGACCACAGCACCACTTGTGCCACCATGAGGGTGTGAAGCACATCTCTGCACTGAATTCTGTCTTTGTTTCCCAGCTGGACACTGGTGCCCAGTTTGCATCCGGTGCCTGGGACTTCCGTATCAATCCAGCCATTTTCTTTGTGTCTGAGTGGCCATAGGCTCCTTGCTGGTCTGGCTGTTTTCCTCTAGCGAGTGCTACTCAAGACCCCCAGGACCCCTCGCTACTTCATTCTGACACCAGTGACCGATATGGGGCTGGTGGAACTGGTAGAGGCGAATCGGATGGACTGGCGGCTCCCTTTGCGTCCCTCCCTGGAACACAGCTTGTGAAGGGGAAATCTCCAGAGGCTCCCCTGGCTCGTACAGGGGAACACAAATGAGAATGAGAGGCAGTGAAGTTGGGCCTCTGGATGTGGGGGCATCTCATGGGTTTATTTCCCAACTATGTGGCAAAGGGATGGGAGTCACAAGCCAGGCCTACCATGCCAGTTCCTGATTCCTGGGGCCCGTATTTCCCACTGAAAAGGTAGATATTAAGTCAGGGGACAGAGGTGCCCAGGCAGGGCTTCGCATGGAGTTTAATACCCATGAAACATGAACTACCACCAATGGCTGGGCTGCAGCTGGGATCTGGGAACTCAATACCAGTCTCCCATGTGGATGCAGACCACCACCTACTGCCTCCCAAGGTCTGGAATTAGTAGGAGCCAGGAACCAGACAGACCCTAAATGTCTGCCTTACCTGCTGCCTCCTGGGGTATGCACTGGAGGCTCAAGGTAGGAGCCAAGCCGGGACCCCACCCAAACACTCTGCCATGGGCTGCAGGAATCCCAAAGCAGCATCTTCATGGCTGCGCCAACGCCTGCCCCTAAACTTCCACTATCATTTATCAAAGCTTGTTGAAGCACCTTCAATCAGCAGCTCCATTGCCTTCTTATGACCAAAAAGAAAGTCCTCTGTTTGAACACATCGTACTGTGTTGATCCATCTCTCCGTCAGTGGACACTTTGGCAGTTTCCAACTTGGGGCTCTTATGAGTAATGCTGCTGTGAAAATGTGTGCCCACGTGGCTATGCGGATGCATTCCTTCCCCTCCCCCCACCCCAATCTGTGCTGTGTGTGGAGGCGGTTATTCTGTGATTCTGCAGATTCTATTTTGAAATTCTATCCCTCAGACTTGAAGGGGAGCGCCCCAGGGCCCCCTTCATGTGCTCCTCAAAGCCACCCCAAGAGACAGCTGCCTGGGCAGCCCAAGGCCACAGAGCAAGCGGGCAGGTGGCTAGGCCTGAACTGGGGTGGCTACCTGTAATCTGGAGGGAGGCCCCCAAGCTCCTGCAGTGGCACATGTCATCAGGACTGGGTCCAGGATACCCCCTGTAGCTCCCTAACAAGGGGAAAATCAGCTGGAAACTACAGATGCTGGCCTAGTACACCTGCTGTGCCCTGCTTGGGGCTGGGCTGCCAGACAGCTCAGACGCTGTTCTGAGCACACCACGTCTGGACCTCTGCAAATTTGTCTGCATAGCCGGGGGGCAGGGCAGGGCTTGCAAGGGGAGGGGAGAGAAGGCTTGTATTTCCCCCCAGTGTGGAGGCCTCAGATCTGAGAACAGGGTGTGGGCAGGGCCACTTCTCTCCCAAGGCAGGAAGGGAGGGTCTGTTCCCAGCTTCTGCAAGTTCCTTGGCTCGTGGGCGGGACCCAGGAACTCCACATGGTATACTGTGCCTCTAGATCTCCCTTTCACTTACATTTTAATTAATATTGAGCTTATGTAAAAGACAGAGACTGACAGCAAGAGGGATCTCTCGTCTGCTTTGCTTTCCAAATGGCCCCAAGAGTCAGGGCTGAGACAGGCAGAAACCAGGAGCTAGGAACTCCATCTGGGTCTTCAGTTGCCTCAATCCTATTAGTGGGTGGTCATCAGCTGCCTTCCTAGCCACATTAGTAGGGAGCTGGATGGGGCACAGAACTGCTGGGACTGGAATGGCTGCTTCTCAATGAGACACTGGTGTTGTGTATTAACCCACTGCACCATGGTGCTTGCCCCTCCAACTTCATTTTAACTCACTCACTCTGAAGAACCTGTCCACCGCCCCCACCCCCTGCAACTGTCACTTGGGCTTGAACCACTCTAAGGAGCATGGCTGTGGTGGGAGTTGCGCGAGTCTGAGCCCAGAAGCTGAGGACTCGGGATTCTGGCTCCAACATTTGGAGCCTGGCTTCAGGGATGACTTGGTCACTGCCTCCCACAGGTCCTGGGGGGCTCCAAAGTAGGTGGCTTCAGGTTACCCGTGACCCTGTGCCCCTGGAGATGGATGTCGGCAAGGAGTACAATCCTCCAGGCAGAACCTCATCCTGTGGAAGGAGGGTGAGGGAAGGGAGGTTCCGTGCCACAATGAAGTGATGAAATATTCAAAGCCCTGACCAGGCCACATTGAGAAACAACGCGTGGTGTAGCAGGTGGATTCCTAATCAGGATCACCTGGTGCAGGTAACGCCTTTCAGCCAGAGTAGAAGCAATCACAGGGAGGATTGTTGTTGGGGACATAGTTTTAATAAAGTGTCATGGGCCTCATTCAGACGTGTTTAAATTAGCTCCCAGGAGGCGCGGCCTGCTCTCGGAGATTGTTGCTAACAGTGCTTCCAGTGTGTTTTCTGGTTTGGGATGTGTGATGGAGGCAGTTTCCCACCCGTCACAGGGACCTTTTGATCCCACACAGGCTTACCGGGAATCTCCTGCTCACCAAGGGCTGTCTCTGCCAGGCACAGGAACTACAAGAGTGGCTTCCTGGGACGGGCTGAAACGTATCATTATTCTAACTGGCTTGTTGACCTGTCTAGGTGGGATGAGCTTGTTGGATCTCTTACATTGAAAGCAACAGGAGGATGGTGTTGTGTCCGCCTTGCTCATTTGGTTTAAGATTGATTTGGAAGGCAGCGTGCAGGCAGAGATAGAGAGGGCGCTCTTCCATCCATTGGTTTACTCCCCATACACTTGCAACAGCTCGGGCTGGGTCAGGATCCAGGAGGAACTCAGCAAGAGGCTCGGCCCATCCTGCCCAGGAATCTGGGCAGTTTTCTGCAGAGTGGGGCCCTGGCACCTTCCTGGCCAATACACGGAGCGTCAGAGGGCAGTTTCTCTAGGGAGGTGAATGTGCGATCAGGACTCAGCACTGCCAACCTGCTGACACTTGTCACCTGGTCTAAGTCCTTAGCAGGACCCAGTGACTCAGGGTAGGATCTCGGGGGAGACAGGCTTGTGCTACCATCCCTCTGCCCACTAGGACCCCTACTTGCTTGTCTATGCAGTGGGGAGACGCCAGTTCCCCAGTTTGTCATGGTGGATAAGGGTAAAATGGGACAGGTATCACTCAGCTGATGTCAGTCCCAACATTCCCTGACACCAGGCAGCTGGCTCAGGACTGGTGCCTTTCCTGAGGAACCTGAGCTTGGTGGTCTCCTCTGTGCTGCACCCCCCAACACACACACACGTGACTCTGGCGGGGGGAACAGCTCTGGGATATAGAGAAGGGGAAGCCATGCCAAGCATGTCGCAGCTCCTCACCAGCCTTCTAGGTTCTGCCTGTTATCTGGGCACTGCAGACAGGCGCTGCTGACAAGCCATTTGTTTGGGCAGGAAGTGAGAGCTAGTAGCTCTTGCATGGGCTGTGCCCGAGGCCTGGTAGCACCACCTTTCATAGGACTGTTTGGACTCTTTGTTTGCTGGCATTTCTTTGTGAGCCCCCAGGTGTGCCAAGGACTAGCCAGGCACGGGTGTCAGATGGTGCTGTGGAAATGCAGGTTGCAGCCATGCATACCTAGGCCTTCTGTTCCACCCACAAGGAGGGAATGAGTGGGTTCACCGGATGGCATGGGGAGTGTGTCCCAGCCCTCAAGTGCAGATCTCTGAATCTACTAGGATGCCCGTTGATGGAAGCACCCTGTAGTCAGGTGCATTAATGAGCACTGCAAGCTCCTGGAATGGCACATGTGAGGGCCCTGTGGCAGGAACAGGCTGCTGTGTTCCAGAACTTGTGAGCTTATGAGTTTACGAATGAGGCTGGTGAGGTTGGAGCAGTGGTGAGTTAGGGGCACAAGAAGAAGCATGCTATGGGCCTGAGTACATCCGGGGACTAGGAAACAGACTGAAAGCTGCTGTCACTGCCTAGCTGAACTTGAGTACCTCAGTCACAAAAGGACAAGCTATGACTACCCAGGCTGGGCAAGGAGGGGCAGTGCCTTGCTCTGCACCTGCACTGCCCACAGGAGCAGACCCCACTGCTGAGTAAGAGTTTTGGGAGGCAACAGGGTCCACTGGCTGTACCCCCAGAGCAGGGCCGGGACCCCATTTTCCAGGCTTAGAAAAATGGAGGGCTCACCTCTGTGGGAGCAGATGGGCCTGGGCCTCAGACCTGGTGCTCTGTTTCCGTACTCTCACTTTGCTCTGCCTTCCTTCAAGGTCCAGGGCAGCTGTGAGGTGCTGCCAGCTTGGCAAACTCTGTCCTCCAGACCTGGGGGCTGGGGAAGATGACCTGGCGTGACACCCAAGCCACCCAAGCTCTTGTCTACATCTTCCCCTGGCTCTCCCTCTGGCTAACACTTCTACAGGAGCTGGGAGGGCGGGGGGCAGGGAGGAGATGTCCTTAGATGCCCTGCACTATCTTTGGAACTTGCGTGGATGCCAATTCTGAGGGGCGGGGAGTACGTGAACTGTGACAGACACCAAAAGCAGGCCCCACCACAGAGTCGCATCAGCCACCAGGGCTGGGCCACTTCCCTGCCCCCTCCAGCTGTGTGCCTGGCCCTCCTAGAGCTGACCTCAGACTCTGGCTGTTTCTGGTCACTGGCTCAGGGGCTCGGAGATTGTTGGAGACAGAGGCCAGCCATTCCTCCTCCTTGCTGAGTCGTTGGGTGCCTCACTCCATGCCACACAGCTCCTATGTGCTGGGGCAGGAAGCACTGTAGAGTGTTCATATGCATGTGGCAGGTGAAATAGATCTTAGCAGATATGTGCACCGAGAACCCAGTGCCAGACCTCAACTGCCCGGGTATGGCTGCCTGAGGAACACCTCCTATCCACACACACAAGGACCTAAGTTCACAGATGTGTGTTTATACAACTGCCATACACGACTAATCCACACATTTATATGAACACATATTCACGTTTTATGCCCACATGTAATGTCTGTTCTAGGTATGTTGGATGAATATGTGATACAGGTGTGTTGTATGTACCTACACATGCAAATGTGTACTGTGTATGGACCAGCATTGTGGCACAGCAGGTTAAATCTCAGCATACCATCTCACATGGGTGCCAATTCAAGTCCTGGCTGGTCTACTTCCAATCCAGCTCCCTGCTAATGTACTACCTGGAAAAGCAGCACGGGACTTGGGACCCCTGCACCCGTGTGGGAGACCCAGAGGAAGTTCCTGACTCTTGGCTTCAGATCAACTCAACTCCAGCTGTTGTAGCCACTTGGGGAGTGAATCAGCAGATGGAAGATCTTTCTCTCTGTCTCTCCTCCTCTCTGTGTATCTACCTTTCCAATAAAAATAAATAAGTCTTTTAAAAAATTATTTGAAAGATTTACAGAGAGAGGAGATACTCAGAAAGAGAGCTTCCATTCACGAGTTCACTCCCTAAATGACCACAATAGCCAGAGCTGGGCTGATCCAAAGCCAGGAACCAGGAGCTGCTTCTAGGTGTTTCGTATAGCTGCAGGGGCTCAAGCACTTGGGCGGTTTCCATTGCTTTCCCAGGCCACTGGCATGGAGCTGAATGGAAAGTGGAGCAGCTTGGACAAAAACTGGCACCCAAATGGGATCTTGGCACATTCAAAGTGAGGATTTAGCCATTGAGCCATTGCACCAGACTCCTAAAATGTATGTGTATGTATGTATATATGTGTGTATGTATGTGTATATAGATAAGATTTATTTCTTTTCATTGGAAAGTCAGATATGCAAAGATGAGAAGAGACAGAGAGAAAGATCTTCTGTCTGTTGACTCACTCCCCAAGTGGCCTCAACGACTAGAGCTGTGCTGATCCGAAGCCAGGAACCCAGAGGCTCTTCCGGATCTCCCACGCAGATGCAGGGTCCCAAGGCTTTGGGCCATCCTCCACTGCTTTTCCAAGCCACAAGCAAGGAACTGGATGGGAAGCAGGGCTGCTGAGATTAGAAAGGGTGCCCATATGGGATCCAGGCATGTGTAACGCAAGGACTTTAGCCGCTAGTCTACCATGCCAGGCCCAGTATGCAGTTTTAAAAATATATATTTTAGAGGTCTGGAGCAATAGGACTTTTTTTTTTTTAATGAAAAGATTATTCATTTGAAAAGTAGAGTTGCAGAGACAGAGTAGGGCACTGCTTGAGGGGAGACTGTGGAATGCCACACTCCACCCCTGCCTCATTCTGCCTCTGCCTCCCTCCCCAGGCCTACGAGAAGCGCTTCCCCACCTGCCCGCAGATCCCTGTCTTCCTGGGCAGCGAGATCCTGCGTGAGTCCCGCAGCCCCGACGGAGCGGTGCACGTGGTGGAGCGGAGCTGCCGGCTGCGTGTGGACGCTCCACGCCTGCTGCGGAAGGTGGGCCAGGCGAGGGAGAACCAGGCGGGGATGGAGGCGGGGACAGCTGTGGGGACCCTCCGCGCGCCTCTTCCCTGGCCCCTCTCTGCAGATCGTAGGCGTGGAGCACGTGGTCTTCGTGCAGAGGAACGTCCTGAACTGGAGGGAGAGATCACTGCTCATCGAGGCTCATAACGAGACCTTCGCCAGCCGCGTGGTGGTGCAGGAGAACTGCAGCTACACGGTGCGTCCCTCCCGCCGGCCAGCCTGGCCCCACCCGCCCCTGTGCACGGCTCACCTGTGCACCTGAGGTCTGCCCCACCACATATTGTCACTGAAAACTCAGGGTGCTGAGTCATGCTGGCTGTTAGATGAACAATCAATACGTTTTCTAGGTATGGTCGGTCCTGCCCCCAAACACTGTTTAGATTATTATTTGTTGTTTATCTGACATCGAAATGTGACTGGGTATCCTTTATCTCCTGGGCGGATCCTGGCAACTGTACCCCTCCCTCCCTTGTCTCAGCTCTCCTTTCCTTCCTTCAGTTTGCTTATCTGTGAAATGGTTTCATAATCGTGCTCTCCACATAGGTTGCATTGACTGAGATCAGTGCATGCCACCAAGTCCTGCCCACAACCTCCCTCTGAATGCAGTCATTGCTCCGTAGCGCTGCCGGCCCGGCACCCCGTTAAATGCTGGCCTGTCCACAGTCCTTGTAGGGGTCACAGACAAGAGAAAGAAGATTGATGTGTGCCCAGCTTTTCTCGGCCCTGGACCATCTTAGCCACGAGTGTTTAAGGCCATGGTCACATCTCCCTGGTCAGTAGGCTCCTGGTGACCTTCTTGTCTAGAAGTTTGCGTGACACCTAGCCTGGCTCTGCTCAATACCTCTGCCCGTGAAGTATTTTCTTACTGACATACATAAAACCTTTCACTGATACCTATGTGTCTGTATACACATATAAGATGAAGCTGTTTATAAGTATGTGTCTCAACTTTCCCTAGGTGCCTACTGCAATGAGAAGGCTGCTTTATTTTGGTGCAAAAACATTTCCAAGAGTGTGAGAGGTTCTCCCAAGAGTTTGTGAAGTGTGTGATGAAAAATTTATGTGAAAGTATTTTTGTGTCAGAATAAATAGCTTTTCATCACATTTTTCACACATTTTGAAAATGTTCTATGGCACTGATTTGTGATTTATTAATAACCTGTGGGTATCTCAGTGGATAAGTAATATGTGAAACTGAACATGTTGTTTACATACATTTGTGTAGGTGTACACACCCTCCTGACCCCTCGTAAGACTCCTATTCTGGATGGTTTATGCATATATATTTTTTTATTTTTGGAGATTTATTTATGTATTTGAAAGGCATAGTTAGAAAGTGAAACAGAGAGATATGTCTGCTGGTTTGTGTCCAAAATGTCTACAACAGCCAAGACAGGACTAGACCAATGTCAGGAGCCTGGACCTCTGTCCGGGTCTCACGCACGTGGGCCCTTCTCTGCTGCCTTGTTGTGTACACCAACAGGGAGCTGGACTGGAAGTGGAACAGGCGCCATAGGGGATGCTGATGTTGAAACTCAGCCAGCTTTCCCTCATTGCCAGCTGCTGCTGCCAGTTTGGTCTTCTCTTGTTCCTTTGTCATAAACTGCCCTGGTCCTGCAGCCTTCCTCCAGGGGCCCATGTGCCCAGGACAGCACCAGTAGAGGGCCAGGAACCCCAGCCCTCTCCAAGTCCTTGGCATTGCTTGGCTTTCAGGTCCACCCTGAGAATGAAGATTGGACTTGCTTCGAGCAGTGTGCCTCACTGGACATTCGGTCCTTCTTTGGCTTTGAGAATGCTCTGGAGAAGCTGGCCATGAAGCAGTACACTGCCAGTGTCAAGAGAGTAAGTGTGGTAGGATTCATGTTCATGCTTGGGAGGAGGTGTACAGATCCGCTCTGTCCCCTGACAACCCTCAGTGCAGCGGTGGGCAGGAGCCTTCCTCTTCGGCACATATGGGTTTACCTGAGGAATGACCACATCAAATGACATAACAGAGGGAAGGTACACAGGCCTTAGTGCCATCCCTGTGGGATGCTGGGGGCTTGCGAGGTAACCTCTCTGATTGGTGAAGCACTTTGCAGTGCTTGCTCCTGGTGAAAAGTCCTTGCTGTCCTTGAACCATCACCATCCATTTGGTGTGCTATTAGCAGGGTCCTCCCTGCCGGGCTGCTTTCTGATCTGCCCTCTTTACCAACTCTTGGGAGTAGGTGCTGTTTGACCTTTGTGGCTCATCCTTCTCAAGCTGGCCTCAGCCAGCAGCACATAGCCCCGGGCCTGCTGCAGGTGCAGTGACTCTGCCATCCTGCCAGGCTGACGCACCTGCATCTCTCTGGCTTGCAGGGCAAGGAGGTGATTGAGCATTACCTGCAAGAGCTCCTCTCCCAGGGTACCTCTCACGTTCCCCGGTGGATACCTGCCCCCGTCCGGGAGGAGGACAGCTGCAGCCAGTCAGGCCTGCAGGACCTTGGTGTTCAAGGGACTGGTGACTCCACTCTGGAGACAGTGGATGCAGATGGTAGGTGCTGCAGCCAGGGTTGGCCAGCCAGGCCTGCACCTTCAGGTCTCCCACTCTGTGACGGTCAGGTCACTGCTACAGGTCCCCTTGGGGAGCCTCTGGGACTCAGGATGAGTCTCCTTCCTTCTGGACCCTTCTCTCCGCTGCTTGCTGGCCCAGGAGGCAGACCAGTTTATTTCTGGATCAGAAATTGAGCTCTTGAGTCTTGGCGCTGCTGCCTTCTCTGCTTTGATGACTATTTTTAACGATGTGAGTAATGCGTGGTCACGGCAGGGAAGAAATTCAAATCACTTGTAAAATGCAAGTCACAGGTGGGACCCTTTCCTCTCCCTGGGGGCAGCGGTTGGAGTTGGCACTTCCTGAAGTTGGGCACATGTAGATGCAGGAGAGTATATATGTATATGCACATGTGTGTGCACATGTTACAGATGTGTCTAATCTATGCTGAGCAACCCAGCATCTGCAAGCCCTATTAGAGGCTTGTACCTCCTTGCTAAGGTTGCTCCAGCAACTCTGTATCCGTGTGTGTGCTTCTTAGTCCCTCCTAGTATGTGGCTGTACTGCAGCTAATTTATTATTAAACACCTGCTTATTGTTTTGAATCAGTCTGTTTAGGTAGCTCCTGTGGCTGAAGGACACAACTAAAGTTTTGCTAGATTTATTGATTAGGCCTCCCAAGAAGTTGTCGTAATCATCATTGCCACCAGAAGGGTATGGCTGTGTGTTCTGGACTCCTCCGTGGCTGAGAGCTGGCAATGGAGGACTTGCTCCCTCTTGCTGAGTCGTCATGCTGACTGTCTCTTTGTTCTCCTTTCTCTGGAGAATCTGTGCCCTTGCCTTTGTCCATTTTCCTGCTTGCCCACTGATTTCTGACTGATTTGCAAGAGCTTTTTGTGTACTCAATCAGTCCTTTGTTATCATTCAGGCTTCTGTGGACCTGGAGGAGGTTCACAGTATAATGTTAAGGAAAGAAAAACAAAACAAAACAAAACCCAGGACCCGCAATTGTGGTACCACCGGGAGTCCAATGTTAGGTGTGGCAGGGGTGGCCCTGGTTTCAGCTTCTCCTTGGGTGACTCAGGGACACTGGGTGACTGACACTGCAGTTTGGGCTGTGCATCAGGTATTTCTTGGACTCCTACTGTGTGCTGGCCAGCTGCCTTTGTTTATGCAGCTTTTTCTTTGATAATTCCCCCCATCCTACCCTGATCCCCCGCCTCTTCCCATGCGATTTGTGCCTCTGACCCCTGGTGGGAGACACCACACCCCAATTCCTGCTCTCAGTCATCAGGCCTTTGCACTTAGCAGTAGATGAGGGCCCTGGCATCTGTGAAGAGGTAGGAGGGTGTGGGAGCTCCCGGCTCCCCCACTCTCCCCATGCCCATCTCCAGGTTAACACCTGTGACACGGTGAGTCCCTCCTGCCTTGGTTTGCCTGGTGCCTCATGGCACAGTTGTGAAGCCCCAGCCCTGGGCATTTCTGTTTTGGCAAAAAGGGAACCACTGTGTGCTGTGGCTGGATGTGCGGATCCTCAGTGTTCTGTTATGAAGCCATCTGCCTGCTGACAGCCAGCTGTGGCCATGGGGCTGTGGCTCTGTGTGATTGTCTACATCCAGACAACAAGATTCAGGCCAGGGTGCCCTCTGCGTGTGTGCCACATGCTGAGCCCGAACAACATGACTGTGTGAGCTGGGACAGCCTGTGTGGTTCCTAGACCCTAGACGGATGGCCCAGCTGTCTTTCAGGGCTGGGACACTGTCTCCCAGTAGCCTCATACCAGCAGAGGGAGCAGGTGGGAAGTGGCATCCTACTGAGCTCATAGCATGCGGATGACTCCACCTCTTTTATCCTCAGGGCCTTTTTTTTTTTTTTTTAAAAAAAAAGATTGATAGATTGATTTGAGATTCGGAGTAACAGAGATTTTCCATCTGCTGGTTTGTTGCCCAAGTGGTTGTAATAGCCAGTGTTAGGCCATTCTGGAAGCAGGAGCCTGGAACTCCATCAGAGTCGCCCCTATGTGTGGCAGAGACCCAAGCCCATGGGCACATTGCACTACTTCTGCAAGTGCATTAGTAGGGAGTTGGATCAGAAGTAGAAGAGCCAGGCCTAGAACTGGTACTGATTGTGCTGATCCTCAAACCTTGGTTATGCTTTTCCCTAGCTGGAGTTTTTCAGGGCCAACTTGAAAAGGGGTTGGAAAAGTGGATCAATTGGGGGTCCATGTGGCTGTGACTCAGGAAGGGTGCACAAGCCAGGGCAGAGCTTCAGGAAGTGTGGAGCATGTGGGAGAGACTCAAGTTATGTCCCTCTGGTCCTGTACTCCCTTCTCTCACAAGGCAACATGTTGGACACCAACTCCAGGGAGAGGCGCCTAGGCCACCTCACCCCCACGCAGGAGAGCTGCCTGACCCGGCTGCGACACTGGCTGCAGGAGACCCACCAGGGCAAGGTGCGTGCAGGGAGGCCTGGAGATCCAGGCACAGAGGCCAGGGAAGAACAGATGAGTTTACGTAAGGAGTACTTTCAGAAGGTTCTGTCAGCTTATTGGGAGGGGCTGTCTTCATTGTGCCTGCCTGTGACTGGGTATGGAGCCTGGCACCACTGCTGCCTGTGGGGCTGGGTGGTTCTGTGTGGGGCAGCTGTTCCGGGCAGTGTGGATGATCTAACAGCATTCCTGGCTTCCACCCTCTCCAGGTTGGCTGGGCCCTGACTTTCCCCAGTGTTCCCTGGGGGCACAGTTGGAACCTACAGCCATGAGGTGCCTTGTGCATGAAGCCACACCTCTACATTTTTCCTAAGAGGTTTAACGACTCTAGACAGGGAAGGGGAGTGTCATTTAGGGATAGCAGTGAAAACGGTCCATTGGCACCTTGGGGTGGGCAGGGAGAAGCAGGTCCCCCCAGCGTGAGAAGGGTAAGACACTCACCAACGGCCCACTGCTGCCCCTGCTTCATGAGGAATGGGTACCCTGCAAGGGTGGTGAGAAGCTGGCCATCACCTGCTGGGTCAGGTACCCCTGTTCCAAGGGCTCTTTCCCTCTGGCCCCTCAGATTCCCAAAGACGAGCACATCCTTCGGTTCCTGCGGGCCCGTGACTTCCACCTGGACAAGGCCCGGGAGATGCTGTGCCACTCCCTGAGCTGGCGGAAACAGCACCAGGTGGATCTCCTCCTGCAGACCTGGCGCCCCCCTGCCCTGCTGGAGGAGTTCTACGCTGGGGGCTGGCACTACCAGGATATTGGTGCGTGATGTGTGCTTTGAAGGGACGTACCTCATGCTGGTGCCTGACCTATGATTCATTCGGGCCCTGGGCATGCATATGAGTGACAACACAGAGCTGGATAAGCACGCAGACGTGGCAACTCATGTGTTCTATCTCCCAGCCCTGGAGGATGCTAGTGTGACACCAGGACTCTCCAGGCTCCAGGGGAGGGCCCTTTTAGCCTCCAGCAGTTTCTGGTGGCCCAGCTGAGCTCCACCCCTGCCTCTGTCCTCACACAGCCCCCTTTGCTGGTCCGAGTCCCCTTCTTTTTTTGTATTAGTTCAGGTTATGTGATTCAGGGACCGCCTTAAGTCTAGTGTGGTTTCATCCTAACAGTTACACCTGCAAAGACTCCAAGTAAAATCATGATTTAGTGAAAAAAAAAAAAGCATCTATTTGGGAGGTAGACACACAGAGGGAGACAGAGTTGTATCTCCCATTCTTCTCATGCCTTCAACAGCTGGGACTGGGTCAAGTGGAAGCCAGGAGGCTGAAATTCCATCTGGGTCTCGCTCATGGGTTGCAGAAACCCAGAGGCTTGGGCCATATTCCACTGCTTTCCCAGATGGCATGAGCAGAGAGCTGGATTGGATCAGATGTGGAGCAGCTGGGACTGGAACCAGCGCTTCAATATGGCATTTTGGCATCACAAGTTATGGCTTAGGCCCCGTCACCCTTTTTAAATATTTTAATGGAGCTGTTTACTTTAGCTTAGTTTTGGGTTGGGATTGTGCCTAGTCCCCGCAGGGCGCTCCCTCAGACCTCCCCGGGTGGGGTGGGGGCTGCTTCTCTGTCTTCTTGCCTGTCATTCCAACTCTTCCTGGAGGTATCAGGTGGGTGGGCAAGTGGGGCTCTGCCCAGCCCAGCCTGGCATCTCCCTTTTCAATAATGCTCCCATCTCTGCTTGATGCCCCATGAAGACGGCCGCCCGCTCTACATCCTGCGCCTGGGCCAGATGGACACCAAGGGCTTGATGAAAGCAGTAGGGGAGGAGGTGCTGCTTCAGCATGTGAGTCAGCTCCCCCAGTGCCACTTCCAGTGCCCCTGAGCAGTTAGGTGGGTGCCAACAGTGCTGTGTGCTTCCAGGTTCTGTTCATCAATGAAGAAGCACAGAGGCGCTGTGAAGGGAGTTCTAAGCTGCTTGGCCGCCCCATCAGGTAAGCACCTGCACGGGAAGGACATCTCCAGGGGTGGGCCAGTGCTCTATGTCAGAGTCCTCACCATTCTCCCCCGGGTCTGTGGCCAGGACCCTCCCTGTGGCCCTTGGTCCAGCTGCTCAGTGGCTGAGTCCTGCTCCCCTTTGTCTCTCCTGCTCCCCACTCTGTGGCTGTGGCTTGCTGGGTGCACCTCTCAGCCCCAAGTTCTACCTGACTCTCTCCCAGCATGACTGCTGACCCACCTCAGCTTCTATTTGAGAGCTGGATCTCCCAGTGTTGTCACCCTCAAAAGTGGGGTGCCCCTCCAAGCTGCAGCTCCCCTACTCTGTAGCTGGGGTTTGTGTTTAGAGCAAGTGACCCCAAATAGCTAGTGTTAAGCTCCTTCCTGAACTTAGTGGAAATTCAGTTCCTTTGCAGTGTGGACCAATTAAACCACAGGGCTGTTCACGCTAGGTGGTCCCTATGAAGCGGGGGACAGGGAGGAAAGGGCCTCCCAGCTGAGCTGCATGCAAATCCACACACTACAGCAAGACAGGCATTCAAAAAAAATTGGTCCTCCTGGAATAGGGGCATGGAGAGGTTAATCACTTGGCCAAGGCCACACAGTGTGGATCTGAGAATGTGGCATGCAGTTACCACCTGGGCTCATTCTCTCACTGTGGTGTCCTTGGCATTACTTTGCAAGCCACAGCAATGCCTGGTACACACTGTGTACCTGTCCCAGCACAGAACATGAATGTGCTGGTCTCAGCTAACCCTAGTACCCAAGACGGTGGGGAGGGGATGGCACCATGGCTGCCGTGGCCGCTGGCTTGTGGCACTCAGCACTCAAGGTGAGACTTGAATTTGAGCGCTTAATAGGAGGCTTCAGGACCTGAGAGAGTCTGCTGGCCTGCTCCCAGCCCTGCCTTGAGGGGGTTCACTGTCCATCTCTGTTCCTGAGGAATGCTCTGGGGCAGAGGATTCGGAGCTGGAGGTGGCAGTGCCAGGTGGAGCCACAAAAGGCTGATCTCTGATGCAGTTCCTGGACCTGCCTGTTGGACCTGGATGGGCTCAACATGCGGCACCTCTGGCGGCCCGGCGTGAAGGTGCTGCTGCGCATGATTGAGGTGGTGGAGGCCAACTACCCTGAGACCCTGGGCCGGCTGCTCATCGTGCGAGCACCCCGCGTCTTCCCAGTGCTCTGGACGTTGGTGAGAGCAGGAGCCGGCCCCTCCTGCAGAGGCTGAGGGTGGACAGAGCCATCCTCTTTGGGCAAGCTTTGCACTCCTATTGGTGCTTTGGCTGCACCAATGCAGAGGCGGGTTGCATGGGGGGTTTCCTCCTGGGCCCACGAGGGTGCCCTGGGTCTGGAAGGGGCATTGGCTGCCCAACCCAGCCCAGCAACTATACTGGGCATGGCCGAGCAGTGCCTGGTGCTCGGCTCCACAGTCCAGTTTGATGGGGGAACATGCCCTACCGTGCCCACCTCCCCTTCCAGATCAGCCCTTTCATCAATGAGAACACCAGGCACAAGTTCCTCATCTATAGTGGCCGTGACTACCTGGGTCCCGGGGGCCTGGTTGACTACCTGAACAGAGACGTGATTCCTGACTTCCTCGGGGGGCAGAGCCTGGTGAGGAGGCGCCCCGCCTGTAGACTTACCCCTGGGGGAAGGCCAGCCCAGGGTCGGGGGGTGGTTCTTCTCAACATCATGAGCAATATAGAAGTTTCCAGAAGCTCAGGGCAGTCCTGAAGTTCCATCTGAGGTGTTGAGCAGCAATAGCTGGAGTTCACCTGTTCAGCCCGTGTCCTCCGTGGATTGAGCTGGTGGGCCCCAGGGGACAATCAGACCCTTGGCAGTGCCCAGACCCATGACTGGGACCAGGACAACAGGCGAGGCCGACCCAGCAGGCAGGTTCCTGTCTGTTCTGGGACAGAAATGCTTGGCTGTGCCTGGTGAGGTTTTGTGATTAAAGAGGTCTTTACTGGGGTGGGTGCTGGGCCTGGCTGTGCCATGCTCACTGCCATTTCCTGTAGGAGTCTGGCTTACTGTTAGTAAGAGGCCTGCAGGTCTGAGTGGCTTAGTTAAGACTCACGGGGTCAGTCCCAGGTTCTTCCGTAATGGTTGAGGATCCCTGAGTACCCAGGTCAGCAGTTGTGGGGCAGGGGCCCTAGGCCTAGGTTTCAATGCAGCACTGTCATGTGGAACAGGAGGATGTCCTGTCTATGGATTCAGGAGGCTGTAGGGTGAGGTGGCTGCCCAGCTCATACCAGATGTATGGGTACTGAGCTGCCACCATCTGTCTCTCACCCCCAGTGCAATGTGCCCGAGGGAGGCCTGGTCCCCAAGTCCCTCTACCTGACAGAGGAAGAGCAGGGGCATGCGGAACAATTGCGGAAGTGGAGTGAGACCTACCATTCGGCCAGCGTGCTTCGTGGGGCACCCCACGAGGTGTGGGAATAAGCCTTGGGGGCGTCTTGGGTCAGCCCGAGGAAGGGTTGGGGTGCCAGTGACTTGTTGCTGCCCAGGGTGGGGAAGGGGAACCTGGGTGGAGGGGAGCAGGAGGCACGGATGTTGGGGAGGCTCCGGGTCAAGGAGCAGGAGCAGCCTCCGGGAGGGGCTGGGCATGGACCCCACGTGACGCAGGGAACTCACACGGGGAGGCTCTGGCGTCTCGTGCAGTTCTTGGACAGGGGACCTCAGGAACCTGTCTCGGCATGGCCCAGAAAGGGGTTGTTGTGGGTGACTGCAGCCCCAGCTGCACCTCGTACCTACTTACTCCCAGTTCCCCTGACTCCTCAATTTACCTCAACAGGTGGTGGTGGAGATTCTGGAAGGGGAGTCGGTCATCACGTGGGACTTTGACGTCCTGCGAGGCGACATGGTGTTCAGCTTGTACCATGCCAAGCAGGCACCCATACTGGCAGCCCAGGAGCCTGCGGCCAGGGCCGGCAGGCAGCTGATTGACAGGAACTGGGTCCTGGGTGTAGATTACAGCTGCGTGCAGGCCCCACTGCTCTGCCGGGAAGGGGAGAGCATCCAGGTGGGATTCCTTGCATCCTCTCATATTTTGTGTGTACTACATGCCTGGGCTTTCAGATCTGGCAGAAGACAGGCCGGACATGGTCCTGACCTCGGGGTCTCTGCAGGATGGGGAGGGTGGGGCTGGGGGTAAACTGGGGTGCCCTGGTGGGAGTGTCAGGGGTAAACTGGGGTGCCCTGGTGGGAGCGTCATGGACTTCCCTGTCTGTGAAGTGGGAATCCTAGATCATCTGGATTTGTTCACAAGCCCACAGGTGAGGGGATGGTGGGGCCCTGCTCCCCTGAAGGTGGCTCTGGGGAGGAGCCCATTCCTTGTTCTCTCTCTGGAGCCCCACAGCTTGTGGTCATGGTGCTCCGGCCGCTGCCCTGTCCTCACATGGCTGCCTCTGGGTCTTCTGGCCCTCTTAGGAGGCACCACCCTGAATCCTTAGCCACAGAGACCCTCCTCCAATGTCCCACATGGCCACCCAGGGCACCTGCTTCATCTCTGTCCCCAGAAGGGTTCTCTCTGGGAGTGGAAGAGTAGTTGAATGTCCATCTGGGTAAGAGGAGAGGTGCTAAGGCCCTGAGGCTAGTGGGCCCCAGACTACAGCCTCAGAGCCTCCAGGGACTCTTGTCAGTTGCCAGTTGTGGCCAACCTCTGGATGTAGGAGTCAGTTCCTCCCCATCTCCCAATGATTGCTGCTGCACACACCAGTCTCAGAGCTAGGGACAGAAGGGGATGTGTAGCCATGAGAGGAGACACTCCTACTGGCTCCTGCATTTTCTGTGAAGCTGGTTTCTGCAGGTGGAAACCACTGCTGGGCCCCATGTGCCCTAGCTAGCCCTGCACATCTTTCTGAAGGTTCCACAGGAGGCTGCCCCAGACTGTCTTACACAACACATTGCAGCCTTCCTCTCTCTCCCCACCCCCACATTTTTTCTGAACTCCTGGATCTTCACCCCAACCCTCCATGTCCTCTGCATCCCCCACCCTACAGAATAGAGCCCCCAGAATGCAGGTGTTCACCCACCCTACCCCCACAGGTCCTAGCCCTTGGCCACGCTCCCCCACCCCAGACTGAAGAGGAAGTGTCCTTGGTCCTGGTAGACAGCACTGGATTTTGGGGCCCTAAAGGACGGTTCACTGGGAATTGGCAAGGGGTCAGGCCCAGTGGCAGGAAGCCTAGGTGTGAGGGTTCAGGCCCCTCAGCCTATCCTCAGGAGGACTCAGGGCACAGGTGTTGTGTTTCAGGGTTCCCATGTGACACGGTGGCCAGGGGTCTACTTGCTCCAGTGGCAAATGCACAGTGCCCCTGGTGGCATGGCCTGCAGCCTCCCGGGTGTGGACGGAGTCCTCACAGCCCTGCACAGCCCCGGGCCCCGGGGCAAGCTCCTCTACTACTACGAGGTGCTCGCGTCTGAGGACTTCAGGTACCAGGGCATGGGGTTCCCCCCAGGGAGGGGCCACATCACCTCTTGTGTCCTGGGTCCTGGCCCTGGGTCCTGGCCCTGGGTCCTGGCCCTGACTGCTGTAATGGCTTCTCTAGGGGTGGGGCCCAGTGTGCACATTACTAGAACCTTCTGGTGACTCAGATAAGCTCTCGGGGTGAGACAGTGTGTGGCCCTGGGTCAGGCCCTGACGCTGACCCAGGGCAGCTTTACAAGGTCACCCTGGGCAGAAGCCCAGAGCCTCCGCCTGGAGTTGGAGGAAGAAATGAGAATGCCTGATTCAAACTATTTCTCTCTTATATATTCCACAGAGTATTCTAGAATACTTATTGTCAGAGAGGACAGATTATGGTGGGTGACCTACAGGGTTCTGGCTGTTGTGTGACCTCAGGCCAGTCACTTCTTGCTGAGCCTGGGATGTGTGCATGACATGGGAGCTGCTGGAGCCCCTGCCTGTGTGGCTGTGCGGGGGGAGAATGCATTGGCTGTGGGCACCCCACTGCCACCTGGGTACACAGTAGGAGGAGACCTTCCACCCATTGGAAGGCCTTCTGGGCCCTACTAGGGAAAGCAGGCCCTGAGTGGGTGGTGCCAGGCAGAGCTCTGCTCTGAGGCCTGGGGGTGTGGAGTCTCATCTCTCCCGGCTGCACTGCTCTTCCCTTCCCCTTGGCTGGCCCAGTGCATTGTGGCTAGCCACAGGAACCCAGCCCTGGGGCCTCAGTTGCAGCATGGACAGCTTCCTGACTGCATGTGCACCTCACTCCCCATCGGAGGGTGCTGGCTAACATGGGCCACTCCCTCCTGCCCAGGGGCTCCATGTCCAGTCTGGAATCCTGTACCAGTGGCTTCTCCCAGCTCAGCGCTGCCACCTGCTCTTCCTCCTCTGGCCAGTCTCATAGCAGCTCCCTGATCTCCAGATAGCCAGAAGTCTCCAAGATGAGAAGCCAGCTTGCTGCTATTATGGGGCCAGCAAACCTGTGGACTGGAGCCCTGGACCAAGATGCTGCCTGCCATGGAACAGGTGTGGAGCAAGCAGCAAGGACCCAGCTCCTGGCCAGTGTGTAGTGTGAGCCCCCCAAGACAGTGAGACACTACTCTCTCCTGCGGGCTTTGCCTACCCAAAGGCCAAGGTGTGGACTGGCCTGCCTTTCGGTTTCCTAGGACATGAGCCTGGTCTGTTCTTCCTGGACTAGCTGCTTTCTCCCCGTGTGCCACTCCCAGAGTAGCCTCTTACCAGCAGGAACAGCCTCCCCTCATGCTCTTCCCCTATCCCTATTGACTCTCCCAGCCAGCCTATGCTGTGGAGGAAGACAGGGCTAGTAAGTGGGTGAAGACAGGCAGAGTCCAGAGGCCTGCGCCTGGAGAGAGCCTGGGGCCCCTGAGCTCCCGCATCCACCTGGTCCTCTTGACTGCCTGGTGGGATAGGTGGGGCCAGTGGCCCCACCCTGGCGTCCTGGTCTCCAAGGTGGGGAGACCTCAGGGAGATCCTGACTGGGCACAGTCACACACATACTCCCAACCACCTGGGCCCAGGACAGGGTAAAGAGAGCCGTTGCCCCTATGGCTAGGGAGCTGCTGAGGGCTCAGGGTTCACAGTTCCCTCTGCCAGGGCAATGTCTGCTCTGGTTCTCTGCCTGTAAGGTCCCTGGGGCTCCTCCCCTACTGTGTGGTATCTTCTGGCTGTGGGAATCTTGGATGGAAAGCAGCCAGGAGGGGCTCCCCTGCACTCAGTCCTAGCCTGGGTTTCCTTCCCCATCTGCTCATCGGGTTGTGTGTCTTAGAGTTGGGCCATGACCCAAATGCCAGCCTTCTCTCCAGTAGCCAGGGAGCCTTGAACCAGAATCTCACCGTTCTGTGCCTCAGCCTCCTCATCTGTGAGGTGGGAACCGCAGTGCCTACCTCACCAGGTGCCATGGCACCAAGTGAGTGTATACAGAAAGTGCTCAATAAAAGTGGGTGATGGGCCAGAGGGAAGCTGGACCCTGAGTACTGTGGCAGCAGGCGCTGTGGCCCACTGAACCAGGTGCCAGCATTTCCTGGGCAAATCCTCACCTCACCTGGAGGGTGTTTCTGGGCAGGGCCTGAAACAAGGGGAGGAAGAGGCTTTTCTGTTGTCTCCAGGCCAGCTTTAAATGCTCCCTCCTTCCCAGAAGATGAGCAGGAACCTTGTCTGAGTCTTTTCAACACAGCCCACTACTGCTGCCTTGTGTTCCAGAGACTTTAAATGTTTCAGACCTTGACCATGCCTGTCATCAGCCTCCGAGGCCCTGAGGGTCTTGGGCATTCACTGTAGGGTGACATCACTCCCTTGGCTGGTGCCTGGGGCTGTCCATGCTGCGTCCCATGCACTGAGCACAGGTGCATGGGGCTGACTGCCTGTGCTAGGTGATCCTGTCACCCTGGAGCCCTAAAGTTCAGGACAGCATAGGCAGGACTGGCCTCCCGGCAAGGATCCTTCCTGCTTCTGGAGGTTCCAGGTGGTCCCTGGTGCCCTTTGGCTGGTGGCTGCCTCTTTCTAGTCTCTGGCTCTGTTTTCATAAGCTTCACCCTCTGTGCATCTCCTGCTCCTCTCAACAAGTACCTTGCCCTACTTAAACCCAGCGTGATGGCATTTCAAGCTGCTGGTTCCAAAGGACACATTCTGAGGCTCTAGGTGCAGGTGAGTGTTGGGGGACATTACTCCGTGACGTGCACACAGTCAACAGAGATGCACAGTGTCAGGGTTTCCAAGTGCGGCCCCTTAGGGCCTACTCGCCACAGCCGACTTGGAATCTTGGGGGAGGCCTCCTAGACCCCACCTGCCAGGTGTCCAGGTGGCAGGGAGTGCCCTGCAGTCCATCTTTCTTGCCCCTGGGGACCTGGCATGCCAGAACTCCGTGTGCCAAGGGCAGCTTGGGTCCTCATGACAGAGTGTGAGGGACCAGGGTCAGGGCAGCACCTGTGCCTGCTGGGAGCTCCCTCAGGGCATGGGGCAGGGTACTTACTGCTGCACAAGACTTCTGTGGATAGAGTGGCCAGGGTGCTCACTTGCAGGAGGTGTGGTTCCTGCAGATGGTGGCATTAGGGCCATCTGCTCTCCCAACCCCTGGGACCCAGCCCTACCCTGCATATCTGACCTTGGGCTTCAACCTCACGCATGCACCTGTGGGTCCCTCCTGAGTCAGGGCCAACTGTTTCCAGGGCAAGGTGCTGACTTGACCCCAGAGGGGTTGAGAAGGAGCAGCCTGTGGGAGGAAGACAGCTCCCAAGGGGGGTGAGAGCCAGACCAGGCCTGAGCTGGTCTTCCTGCTGACGTCTGTCTGAGCCGCTGTGCCTCCCTGGGGGCCTCTGAGCCTGTGCAAGACAGGGCAAAACACACTAGGGCTCCCTGGGGCCCAGCTCTTTCTCCTGGCAGCTTTATCAGCTCAGCTGCAGGTGGGCCTGAGCAGGGCCTGGCAGGAAAGAGCTTTGTGTGCCTCTCAGCAAGGCCTTTACATCTCCCACCACACACATTTTTCTGCATTCATGTCCAGGCTAAGCTGTGCAAATGCCTGAACCCCAAAATGTGCCTGTTAAACACATTACGAGTGGTCAGAGATTCCCAAACCCCAACTGCCTTAAGCAAAAACAGGGACTCACTGACCACATGACCAGGAAGTTGACAGAGAACCCTAGCTTCAAGTGCAGCTGGAATCAGGAGCTTGACCCACCTCTCCACCTCCAAGTCCTATCTTTGCTCTAGGCCCTTTCCTGAGAAGCTCAGTGTGCTGTGATGGGCTGCCAAGGCCCACCTCCTTTGGCCTGGAAGCAAGAAGTAGCCCCACAGGACCACAGCATGTGGGGGAATGCCTGGGGTGGCGGGGAGGTTAGTGTGGTCAGGCTCCCGACCATAGCTCTCATTGCCTACATCTCCCAGGTCCCTGGGGAGTTTACACGGTTACTGAGAGCTTCTTGTTGCAGGTGCCACTGCCTCCCCTTTGTAGCTGACCACTGGTGACCCAGGCCCTGTGTGGGGCAGACTGCAGGGGCAATCTACCCACTTGGGAGACCTAGAATGAGCTGCCAGCTCTTGGCCTGCCTGCACCTTGGCTACAGTGGGCATCTGATTAGTGAGCTGTTGGAGGGAAGATATTAGTTTTCTTTTATCTCTGCATTAAAATAAATAAATGCTAAACTAAAACTCCTGTCTTCTTTCCCTTTCCATTACCCTGAGGTTGGTAATTCCTCCCCACACTCCCTCCCATGAAATTGTGACCACACAGAGTCATTCAAAGGCACTTCCTGATCTTTAAGGGATTCCAAATGACAAACCCTGATGTTACCAACTGGGAAGTTCCACAGGTGGCTGGCTTGAATACACCTGCTGCTCGGACCCGGGTGAAACCAGGGGTGCCGGAGCTTGTTCTAAAGAGACACCAGAGATGTGGGGCTTCTGTGACTCCCTGGGATGCCCAGGTTCCAACAAGTACAACCTGGCAGCTGAGCTGGACCAGGTGAAGAAGTCCCACCTGCACTGCCCTAGCTGACGGAGACACAAAACGTCACCCATGGGCTCCTTTTCTTGCACCAATTTATTCAAGTGATAGAAAAACATTCTCTTGGCAGCAGGGCAGCAAAACAGATCTGTAAACATGGTCAGCTTGGCCCCTCCTCAGGGGCGTCCTGCGGGGTGAGGCACATTCTAGTTGCAATTGCAGTGATGAGCTGAGGAGAGGAGGGTCCTGGGACTTGGCTCTTATCCAGCCCTATGTCCAGGGGCCGGCTGGGGCCCATCCATCCATCCATCCATCATGATTCACTTATTCACTCATGGTTTCTGTCTGTTGGCCCAGGAAGCTGAACCCTACTCTTGGGCAGCAGACGCAGGTGGGCAGGGAAGTAGAGGCTCTCTCTGGGGTACTGCATGGCCAGGGCTGCACCTGCCCCAGCAGATGGGCAACAAGGAGCCAGAGCCAGGTGAGGGCAGAGGCACAGGTGCTACCAGAAGCTCGGTTGCAGTGCCAGGGCCACTGGACAGTGCATGTTTGTGGCCTTTGGGTCTCCCCTGCAGATGCTGGGCCACGCGAAGGCAGGCCCTATGGACAGGCAATCCAGAGCAGCTTGTAGCTCAGTCCTTGAAGGGGCTGTGGGTGACCCCAGGCTGCTCCTTGTCAGCAGCCAGGAGCTCCCCATTCATCTCCTGCAGTGGGTGGTACACATACTCCCCACCCAGGCGCCGGCTCCTCTCCACTCTCGAGCCAAAGAGCAAGGACAGGTTTGTTGCAACGCTGACCAGCAGCAAGAAGACCAGGGCCAGGGTCAGGGCCAGCCAGGTAGTCCTGGACAGAGGAGAAACCTGGTTAGGGCAGCTGCGGGGCAGCACAGGATTAAGGGTATATGGGATAGCCAGGGACCCTTAAAGCGCCTATAAGAGCAGTAAGGATGACCACTACGTATGACCACCTCTAGTACTTCGAGAAGCCACTAAAAAATTGTTATGTGACTGTGAGTGGCTTACACATGTGGCTGATGCATTCTGCTACCCACAGAGGGCTGGGCTCCACCTCACAGCAGAGGACTTGGGCCCCTTTTCCCCAAGGCAGGAATCAGTAGGGGGTGAAGTCTAGGGCTTTCCCCCTTCGGGGTTTCCTGGGACTATCAGGCGACCACAGAGATGAGCTGTGACAGTCCCTGGACTGACACCGCAGGAAGATCATTCAGTGTCAGGCGCCACTTCCTAGTTCTGTTCGCTCTTTGGGCAGAGACCAAGCCTGGGGAGTGGGGGGAAAGAAGGGACCTGGCTTTCCTGGCAGTACCTACCCAGTAAAAAAGGAGAATTCTCCAGCTCTTGAACTGGCTTCAGCTGGCCGCAGACACTGCTTTCCTGTAAGATACCACAGTGGGCTCCAGGGGCCTGGGACAAGGCTGCATAGCCCCTACCCCTGCCCCAGAAGCCTTGGAGGAGCTGCTACCTTGGGAGATGCTGCAGTTGCCAGTCTGGGGGTCACAGGGACACTGGTGTTCACATTGGCAAGGCCTCTGGCAGCCTGGCCCATGCCAGCCAAGTGGACACTCTGTGGAGAAGAGATAGGTGACCCATGTGAACATACAGGGGATCAGGGGGAGGCACGCTGCTCCCCACCAAGGTAGGTTCCTGGGAATCATGTTGTTTGCAATGAAGGTCTCTGTAGGGGTGACTGGAACTCTCAAGACAAGAGCATTCTGGACTTAGGGTGGGCCCATGGCCAGAGCATGTGGATCCTCTAAGGGAACAGAGAGGGAGACATGGAGGGCGGGTACAGCTGGAGGTGGAGGCCTGTAGCCCTGAGCCAAGGAACACATGAGCCACTGGCACGCAAGAGGTCTCCTCGGGACCTTCTGGAGTGACCCTGGCCTGCTGATAACATCAAGGGGAATGGACAAATTCCTTTGATTTTGGTGCCTACAGTGGAGATACTTGTGGTGGGCATGGCAGCCAGTGACATTGAGAGCTGAGAGTTCACACATAGCAAGTATGTTCCAGCAGTGGGTGGCTGGGGAAGGGAACTGAGGAGAGGCCTGGTGGTTCCTACCTTCACTGCAGTTGGTCCCTGTCCAGCCAGGGTCACAGCGGCAGCCGGCTGTGGGGACGAGGACAGGGAAGTCAGGAAGTCAGGCAGGGCTGGGAGGCTTAAGAGAACCCCACCACACCCATCCTCCAGATTCCCTACTCACTCTCTGTGCAGAGCCCGTGCTGGCTGCAGTTGGAGGGACCACACTCCAGCTGGCTGCAGCTAGGGCCCCGCCAGAAGTGCCCCGTGCACTGGCAGTGCCCATCCACGCAGATCCCGTGGCCACTGCAGTCGGGCGGCTGGCAGCGGGGTTCATGCACACACACTATGGTAGACACTTGGCGGGGGCAGCGCCACCTGCTGTCCTGGCTGCAGGGGGACCAAGGGTGCATGAGTGAAAGCCAAGGAGATGGCCATGCCTCTCCTGCTTCCCACTGGAGTCCATAGGAGCCACCCTCCCCAACCTCTCTGCCGTGTCTCTCACCCCTGGACCTTTGCAATATGCTGTGTCCCCTACACTCCTCTTCACCACTAACCATCCTGTCATTCTTCAGACCCCATCATTCTTGGGATGGAATCAGAAGGGTCTCTCTTGACCCACTGGCCCCTGTCCATAGGTGGGGGAAGGGACTTTGGCTCCTTCCACTCCAGGGCCCAGAACACAGTATGCTTGACACGGACAGAATGGGAGCAGCCTTGGATGTGGCCCCCACAGAGGGGGAGGCAGCCTTGCTTACCAGTGATCTGATGGGTAGCTGGCCAGGGTCCCATTGAGCACAAAGGTGGCTGACCCGCCTCCATCCAGGTTGATGGCGTTGACCACGTCATGTTGCAGCAGGAACTCCGCTACATCCCACAGATTGACACTGTGCAGGACAATGGTATGTTTGACCCTGGGCAGCTTCCCTTCAGCTTGTCTAACTCTCTCCAGCCACTGGAGTAGGTCAGTTTCTGAATGGTCCCCCAAGGACACCCGAAAGCAGGGACTGGTAGAAGTCATGATCAGTTGCATGCTGCTGTGTGGCACATGTACCCGATCCCTCTGGAGGAGGATGCAATTGTGTGGCCCCAAGAGACCACAAGATTCATCCAGAGCTGCAGCTGCAGAGGTGGTAACGGCTAATCTGGGAATGGGCCTGTGATTTCCTCCTCTTTGCTAACCCTGTGATCAGGGACCCTCTCAGGCTGAACCCAAAGGCCAGCACTCACCCACGTTGATCTGTCTGTCCATCTGCATGGAAGAGCACCAGCTGCCCCTGCCGGTCGTGGCCCACAGCTGTCCTGGCGGACATCACGTTCACAAACTTGCTGAAGGAACCTGAAGAGGTGTGTCCTGGCTGAGCAGCCAGCCCTTTTCCAGGTCTCCTGGGCTGTCACCCTCTTCCGGCTCCCAGCCTTGATACCCAGCATCTCCCTTCCCATGCCCCTTGTCTCCCCCTGCCCATCTCAGGCAGTTTCCACTGAAGACCTGCCAATGACAGCTGGTGGCAGGCATAACCTCTGGGCTGCCTCCTCCTGCCTCATCTCTCATCCACACCCACCCCTGACCCCTGAGAGGGCCTGCACTTTTCGTCCTCTCTGGCTTCTCCCTAACCTTTGCTATGCCTGCTACTTCTGACCTCAGGCCACTCCTTCAGTGAGGTCTTCCTGACTACCAGGTTTTGCCCCACCCCTTTCTGACCTATTTCTCCAGCTTTATTTTTCCTTCCTTAGGTTGACGGATTCTTTCAAGACTGTCTCAGTCCTCACTGAGTCTCAGGACCCACACAGTGCCGAGCCTCAAGCAGCTGCGGGATGAAAACTTGCCAGAGTCACCCCTTCCTCCCTGGCTCCCACACCCCGACCCGCACCTGTCTCTTGGGTCTCATCGCACTCAGTGGCCTGGCTCTCGTTGATGTAAATGCTCCCGTTGCGGATCAGCCACACGACCCCACCGAGCAGCTGCACAAACGGGTTCTCCTTGTCCAGCACTTCCTCCTCAGTCACGTACCTGCCCCCAGAGAACATGGGTGGCTCACTCTCCAATGGTGGCGGATGGAGGGGAGCAGTGGCTGGAGGTAGAGGGGCTTTTTCCTTCCCCTGCCCCTCCCTGCAAAGCCTGGTTTCTACATTGCTTCTCCAGCTCCAGGAACCTGCAGTGGCCTACACTGGGCAGAACCACCACTCAGCTGACACCTGTCCAGCCCTTCTAGGGGCCCCTTCTACCTCTCCCAGGGTCAGAACATCCCAGCTCACTCACATGCTCACATGCTCCAAGCCTGCAGGCACCCCGGAGACTTCCCACTGCCCAGCAGCTCCAACTCTGGCTGATGCCCCTTCAACTTTGGGCTCATAATTCACCTTCTCAGGCCTGTTCAGATCAGCCCTCCCTAGAATCCCGGCTGTGGCTGCAGCCAGTTCACCCAGTCATACACCCCAAGGTCACTGTTTTCCCCAGCTCTGTTTATCTTGGCAAAGTGGAGGCCCTTAACTCAAACATTACCTGTGCTTGCTCACTCTCTGCTTCCTCCCCAGGGCACTGTCTGTTGGTCGGCTACCAATTAAGTGTTCCAGGGTACTGGATGAAAAACTAACTTAGCTATGCCCCTTTTGTAGACAAGTTAAGTGCCGGAAGCCGGCAGCGCGGCTACCTACGACTTTAACCTCGGGCCCTCTGCCCTCCCGAGGCTTCCTGCCTCCTCACCCGGTGACCAGGGTCCCGTCGCGGCGGATCCCGAACTGCGCGTTCTGCAGACCCCGGGATCTGCTCACCCGCCGCCCGTCGCTCACCACGTTCCCCAGGCACTCGCCCGTGATCATGCGGAAGAAGCCGCCGTTCTGCGCCACGCGGCAGCCGGCAACCCGCGCTGTCTCTTCCACGGTGGCGCGGTGCCTCGCCTCGCAGCCTCCCGGCCCGCCGGGCTCCAGCACCGAGAAGGTGCGCAGGGGCACTGCGACCCGCGTCAGGTGGCCAGAGACCGCACGCCCCGCGAAGTGTGACACGAAGGTGCGCACCGCCGGGCCGCCGGCGCCGACGGTCGCGGCGGGCGGAGGCCAACTCTCGTGGTCCCCGCGGCCGGCGAGCTCCCGCGCACAGTCCCGGGCGGAACGCGTGCGTGCGCGGGGGTAAGGCAGCAGCAAGTCGTCGTTGCGGGAGGACCTGAGGGGACCGGACGACCGTGAGATCAGGGGGGGTCTGGGCTCGTGTGCAAGGGAGGGAACCCCCGTCCCAGGCGCGCTACCCCCCGGCAGTGTACTCACCCCGAGCCGAGGCCGCCAGCTGCCCTCCCAAGCTGTCCGAGCAGCGATAGAAGGAAGAGAAGCCAGCGACCCGTGGAGGCCGCCATGTTGGGCCCGGACCCGGGTCACGTGGCCTCGCCCCACGTGACTCGGGATATTTGGGTGGCGGCAGCGCTGTGTTGCTCCAGCTGCTTGTCACGCCTCTTGAGTTGCCTGAGGTGATGTTAGTGACAGTGAGAGCGACTTTATCCTGAGGTAATTTCAAACTTTTGGAAGCTTCTGGAATAGTAGAAAGAGCTCTGGAACGCCACGGTAGCCGTTGTTTTGCGCTCACATCGTTCATGCCGGGGTTGTTTGTTCCTGATTCGGGCACATGTTGTCCCTCGACCAGTTGTGGCGGCTCCCTCTCCTCGGGCTTTCCGTGGGCCTCAGGACAGGACCCGGGCATTTCCTCAGGAAACCCCAGGGCTCGCCTTGTTCCCTCGCCCGCCACTCACGTTGGGGTTTGGGCCATGGTCTGGTAAGTCACCGGCTCTCTAAGTCTTAGTTTTGTGACCTGGTCGTACTGAAGGGCCTGCTCCCTCAAAAACCCAAGCTACCCGCTATTAAAGGAGAAAGTTGTGAAGGATTTTTTAGTGGTAAGGGCAGATGGTCGAAATCCCGGGGCCATTCTGGTGAAGACATTCCAGGAGCCATCCTGGGAGCCTTTGGTACCACAGGGCTGGAGACCAAGGGCAGCCCCTTTCTGTGCACACTCAGCACCATGAATGCTTGACCCCAGGCCCTTTTGAGTCACTGCTGCCTCAAGCCTGTGTGCACTCAGTGGTGTTTCTGCACACTCCCCTTTAGGTTCCTTCCAGAACCCTGGTGCAGAACCTTCTAGAGTAGCGAGTTATTGTGAAATTAGTGGAGAATGAACTCATACTGGAGCAGGGTATGCCCTACATGCAATCTAATTGGTGTTCCCAGGACCAGAGGCAAGCTCTGGCTGCAATTGCCTGGTCCCCTCTTTTCCTCCAAGTTGTGCTGTTACTGTATATCCAGCAGAGTGAGCCCTTGAAAAATACGGATGGCCAGTATGGCCAGCCCTGAGAGGTCTGCCTCTGCAATACTTGGTGTAGGCGTGCCTGTTTCCAGGAGAAGCAGAATGTGAATGGAGGGGAAATCTTCCCTGTGTGGGTGGGGTTGTAGGCACCTTGGGGCTGAGAACAGAACAGCAGGTACTGTCCGTGAGTGTTACAATCTCTACAGTCTCTGAGGGATTGCTTGGAAATGTGTATGTTGAACAAGAGTTGATTGATTAATTATTTTAGGTTGTTTTGGAATTGTTTGTGTATTTATTTGAAAAGGAGAAAAGGAAGAGAAGAGAAAGAAAAGATATTGTCCAGCTACTGGTTCACCCCCCAAGTGCCTGCAACAGCCAGGGCCTGGCCAGGCACAAGCCCAGAGTCAGGAACTTCATCTGAGGTACCCATGTTGGTGGGTGGTGTTGCCGGCTAGACCTTGGTGTGTTCTTTCCTCAGCTTAGAAGTGGAAATAAAAGCCAGGTTTTTATTGCCAAAAGTTTTTTTATGCCAAAAGGTTTATGACGTGAAAAGAAAAGTGAAGCCTTCTGTTGGAGAGGTGACAGGGAAGAGCTGTCAAGTTCATTTTAAGGAAGTGTCAAGCGGCTGGTTTTCAGGAAGTGTCCTGAGTTTCTCAGGCTTTTCTGTCCCCACTAGAGGACATCTACTTGGTGGGACCTAGGTTTTACTGGCTTACAGTTTTGGAGTTTAAGACCTGGGGTAGCGCTTATCTGTTGGTGGCAGTAGCACAGAGGGTTTTTTTAATTGGGCAGGAACCTGAAACTGGTAGGAACCTGTTATCTGTAACTACCAAAGTGCTCTTGCGGCTGAGTTCCTGGAATTGTGCAAGCCTTTGGCTTCAAGGAAACGTGACCACCTAGCCAGAGTTGACCTCAGGTGACAGAAGCCTGTGTAGTTGGGTCACCCCCTGATGCCTCCCAGTGTGTGCATTAGCCAGAAGTGGAAACTGAGCGTGGAACTAGGCACTTTGAAGTGGGATACTGGTATTGCAAGCAGCATCTTAATGGGCTGTGACAAACCCCTTCCAAGATCTCTTTCTTGAAAGTGACTGGTAAGGCTACTCCTCTGTTGGGCCCCACATCAGGAAGGATGAGTGGGTAAGGCATAACTCCTTCCCTAATCCCTTTATATGTGCCCAACTTCTTTAAAGGTTCTCCACCTGGCTTGGGAAAGACTGATTTGCAAGGCCTTGAGAAGGAATTCTGAAAAGCACCTCCAGGGCCAGTGGGCATTAAAATTTGCCCTTGAACCCTGCAAGCAAATAACAACCACAAAAACAATTTGTCCACAGAACCCAGCCATGCTCCTTTGGACCCAACAGCTTCAGAGCTACCACAGGAAGCAGCCATGGTGGAGGGAAAGGAGGAGGCTCTCTCCCAAAGGAGAGATCTGGGAAAAGAATCCCACTTCTCTCTCCACTACGGGCTGGTTCAGTTAGGTATAGGAGGAGCCAGGAGCATCACAACTCAGACACGCAGTTTCCTACCACCTGCAATTCCAGCATCCCACGAGGGGGTCAGTTCAAGTCCTGGCTACTCTGCTTCTGAGCCAGCTCCTTGCTAATAATCCTGGGGAAGCAGTAGAAGACGGCCCAAATGCTTAGGGCCCTGTACTCATGTGGGAGACCCCAAAGAAGCTCCTGGCTCTTGACTTTGGCCTGCCCTGCTCCAGCTGTTATGTCTGTTTGAATACTGAACTAGTTGAGACCAACTAGACCTCTGTTGGTCTCTTTCTCTCTCTGACTCTGCCTTTCAGATAAGTAAATATTTATCTTAAAAAGAAAAAAGAGGGCCTAGTGCAGTAACCTAGTGACAAAAGTCCTCGCCTTGCACACACCAGGATTCTATATGGGTGCCAGTTTATGTTCTAGCCTCCTGCTTGTGCCCTGGGAAAGCAGTCAAGGATGGCCCAAAGCCTTGGGGTACTGTACCTATGTGGGAGACCTGGAAGAAGCTCCTGGATCAGCTCAGCACCAGCCATTGTGGCCGCTTGGGAAGAAAATGAATAGACAGAAGATGTTTCTCTCTGTCTCTCTTCTTCTTTGTATAACTGACTTTCCAATAAAAATAAATCTTAAAAAAAAAAGTGCCATAGTAGGTTAGGCCTCCACCTTTGGTGTTGGCATCCCTTATGGGCACTGATTTGTGCCCTGGCTGCTCCACTTCTGATCCAGCTCCCTGCTCATGTGCCTGGGAAAGCAGCGGAGGATGGCCCAAGTCTTTGGGTTCTTGTACCCATATGAGAGCCCCAGAAGAATCTCCTGGCTTTAGACCCACTCAATGTGGCCATTGCAGCCATTTGGGGAGTAAAACCAGCAGGTAGAAGACCTCTCTGTCTCTCTATAACTTCACCTTTCAAATAAAAATAAGTCTTTAAAAAAACAAACAAGAAACTCACCCAAATCAGAGACCCACATGGGGATGCATACCTCTTAACTATGTAAACAACATTAAAAATTAAATAAAAAACAAGGTACATGGCACGATTTTAAAAAAGAAAAAAAAAATCCATGAGAAAGACAAATGCCTGTTGTCCTTCAGTCTCCCAAAGCTGTGGCCACAGAGAAAAAAGGAAGACCATGGGTGTTTTGGAACTTGTGCCTGGGCCTGGAGATGCCACCCAAGGCTGCCCTGTGTGCTGAGAAACAAGACCGGACTCTGCCTCTGTGGTGCTGTGTGTGTATTCACCTTCTCCGCCTCAGGCTGTCCCAGCCCTCCCTGCCCCGCTTACTCAGTGCTCTCTAGCACCCCTGGCCGGGCGGTCTGGGCCTCCCCAGCCACCTCCTCCTCAGGAAGTGACCCACCAGGTGCGCTTCCTGGAGTCTGCTCAGCTTTGGGCAGCAGGCTCAGGAGCTGTGCGGGGTGGTGGTGCTCCATCTTCTGCCGGGTCTTCTGCTAGGATGTAGAGGAAGCCCCCCAGGGCAGACACTGCCGTGGTGGTCTGGTGGGCAAGGCAGCCATCTGGGGGGGAAAAAGCCTCTTGGGGATGAGTGCAGGTGATGGGGGCACTGTGCAGCTGTCACAGCCCTCACATACCCAGCCAGCCTGCTATCCCAGCCTCAGGAGGACATGGCTGCTGGAATTCACTGCCAGGGACTCCTGCCCCAGAAGAGGGTGTATGGATGGACACAGCCCCAGCCTGGCTGGTGTGGGGGGTGGGTCTTAGGTCCCAGTCTTTGCCTCACCTGTGAATTCCTTTTCCCGTCTCTTCACTCTTTGTAGAAGGCGCTGTGGGGGCTGGGATCCTCTGGGTACAGCCTCATCTCTAGTGACTGGGGGACAGCGCCAGGAGCTGTGTCAGGGTGGGCTGGTCAGCATGCTTGCAGGGCCTCCTCCCTGTCACAGGACCTACAGCTCAGGTCTTCTCCAGGGCTTGGGGGGAGTCTGTTCCCCCATCTGCACATCTCCCCCTGTCCCTGCAATCAGTGGATTGTTGCATTTTTAGTGAGTCCCAGCCTCTGCTGTCAGACCCATCTGGGCCACCCAACTCCCAGCTGGGTAGCTCTGGGGGCCAAAAATCTTCCTTTTGTGAACTGTTGCAGAAGGCGGATTATCTTACTGCAAACACTCTGCTGCTTGAAGATGACCAAGGGTGCCAGGGTCTAACACAGAGACCACGTGAGTTTTTCATCTAACCTTTTAGCTCAAGGTCATTGTGGCACTCATTTTCAGATGAGGGTGTTGAGGCTCAAACAAGTGTAATGGTGTCCCCTCTCCAGGAGGCCTTCTCTAACCCCTCTGCTCCCAGAGCCACCTCAGCACGCTCTGCCCTCTCAGTCCCTCTCAAAACTCGTAGTGATCTCACTTCCTGGTATACTCACCTGCTTTCTGCCTCTTTCGCCTCAGGGCTCTGGCTTCCCTGAGAGCCTGACTAGGGCTAGCGGGTTAGCAGGTGCTCAGTCAACACTCACCAGGTGGGTGTGTTTGTTAGCACAGGTGCAGGAGCTGGCAGTTGCCAGCTAGACTGCCTCCTAGCCAGCAGGGGTGTGGCGTCCAGTGCTCTGAGCCCACCCTGACATGTGTACATTTACACGTACATTGGT